TGGAAACTCCTTCAAGCGTTCTAGGTGAAGCTGGTTGAGAGAATGCCAAGACTGTGCAAAGCTGTCATCAAGGCAAATGGTGGCTACTTTGAAGAATCTCAAATATAAAATATATTTTTATTTGATTTGTTTAACACTATTTTGGTTACTACATGATTCCATATGTGTAATTTCATAGTTTTGATGTCTTCACTATTATTCTACAATGTAGAAAATAGTAAAAATAAAGAAAAACCCTTGAGTGAGTAGGTGTGTCCAAACTTTTGACTGGTTCAGTATGTGTGTGATTGTGTGTATGCAAGTGCTTAAAGACACAATCTCAACCTTTTTATGATTTTACATTATCATCTTTCTCTCTCTTTCTCTCCCCCAACCAACTGCTTCAATCTCCTTCCCTCTCTCTTTGCATCAATTCAGACCCAAAAGGCCAATCCCAGTAAATAGACACGTTGATCTCATAGACCATAATAACAGTCCTATTACTGAGGCAGAGGATGGCGCTCAGTGTCACCTTAACATGTTACTGGACTGACATCTAGCCCTGATCAATGATAATGATGATTTAGCCTGGCTTTCAACCCACGCCTCCGTGGCCCCAGCACCAGGAAATCACATTACAGTTTACCCTGCCCTGGCTCCATTAGAACGCTGCCATTTGTTAAAATACTGCCCAGGCCAAAACAATTTAACCGGGGGACTTTTTCATTCTGTAATAGAGGGACGGGCGTGCCATCATCATTGTCCCCATGAGTGAATCAATTCGGGCGCCTGTTATTTCGTAAAAAGCATTTGGATTAGATTGATCTGACCCCGTGATAATGCTGAAATCGATGGAGGAGCTGCCAGAAAACAAGTTAGGAGAAGTTATCTTTCTATTAATCTCAATGCCTGTACTCAGATTGGTAATGCTATCCTTACTATGCCAGAAAGTATCATAATATGCCTTGATCTCCTAGTGTAAAGTCTGCTGCAGATCAGTATTAGGTCCGGCTGCTATGGACAACTGAATGGAGGGTACCCAAAACTCTGTGTCCCCTCCTTTGTCTTCCCCATTGCCTCTTACAGGAAATGAGAGGGGAATGCACACACTTTGACATGCAAGCAGAACATCAGACACTCCCGCTGGCACACACACCAGACGCTCACAGACAGACGTGCGTGCGCACACAAACATGCAGTGTCAGGCATGCATGCATACACACGCGTGTATGTACACACACACACGGACACAATGTTTTATGTCTGTGGCTGGGCTGAGAGAACTGAGGGCTCCCGTGGCGCCAGAGCTGCTGCTGATTGTCCAGCCACTGGCTTGGGAAAGTTTCCTCAAGGAAACTCAGAGTGTGTGTGTGTGTTGGGTGTTGCCGCTGGCTGTGTCAGTGGGTGTTTGGAGCTGTGTTCGTGTCTGCAGCGTATGCCCCGGCTCTGTGGAGTGGTGCTGCTTACACGCACACACTAATCCCCTTGATCAAAGGGTGAACGTCCTTTTAGGGAGTGGACAGCGGTAGTAGTGCACTATATGGGGAATAGGGTGTCATTTGAGACACAGATGCTTTTTTCCCTAGAGGTTACTCTAGGCGTGATTCACATAGTCTATTGAAATCTTATTGATGATGTTATTAAATATTTTGAGACTGGGCAGTAGAGTGTGTTAGAAGCTCATGAAGTCACTATGGAATAGGGACTAGGCGTTGTTTCTGGACAAGACCTACAGGTAACTGCCAAAATAAAGGAAACGCCAACATAGTGTCTTAATATGGCGTTGGGCCGCCACGAGCCGCCAGAACAGCTTTAATGTGCTTTTGTCTGGAACTCTATTGGAGGGATGCGACACCATTCTTCCACGTCAATAATTTGGTGTTTTGTTGAAGGTGGTGGGAAAACACTCTCAGGCGCCTCTTCAGAATCTCCTATAAGTGTTCAATTGGGTTGAGATCTGGTGACCGACACACATGCACACATCCTTTAAACCCCCTATGCTCCTTTTGAGACCCCTTTTTCAAAGTCACAGATTTCTTCTAGACATTTCGTTTTTTAAACAACTAATTGACTGACGTCGGTTCAATTATTTAAATTACATTTCGTTCGTTTTTTTACCTGTGAGCTCAATGCGCACATCGCACAGTTTCTCTAGAGATAAATCAGATCACTGTTTGGCATTTGCTGTAGCGACAAGACTCAATATAGGCAGTCTACACACGGCTAACACGAACCAACAGCAGTTAAACAAGGGCCATGTCTACTGACCAAGAGAGAGGAAGAGAGAGCGTGAGAGAGGAAAACCTTGAGAGAGGAGAGAAAAAGGGAGAGCGGGAGAGAGAACAAGAGAGCGAGAGACGGAGTGAATGAGAAAGGGAGGGAACAAGATGGAGAAGCGAGAGAGAGAACAAGAGAGCGAGAGATGGAGTGAATGAGAAAGAGAGGGAACAAGATGGAGAAGCGAGAGAGAGAACAAGAGAGCGAGAGATGGAGTGAATGAGAAAGAGAGGGAACAAGATGGAGAAGCGAGAGAGAGAACAAGAGAGCGAGAGATGGAGTGAATGAGAAAGAGAGGGAACAAGATGGAGAAGCGAGAGAGAGAACAAGAAAGCGGTGCAGGCAGACTGGCTTCTCTATCATCGGCTCCATTCTAAGATTCCCTCATTGGAAGAATTATGACAAATTAAACCCCCTTCGGTTCTCCATGGCTGCGACTCAGGGCTATCGAGTAGCACATGGAGGAGAGTACCTGCAGCTTTTTACCATTCAACTCTCCCTTAAGTGTTTCCATGTTCCCGGCGCTTTGCGGCCAGTTTAAGATATCTTGGCTGCTTTGAGATGGCCTGATGTGTGCATATTTTGAAACGGGGTAATTTTCTCAACGGTTCGGCCACAGTATTTCATCCACTGTTTAAGTCTGTCAGAGAGAGGCCTGAATGGAAGGAGCAGATATTTTCCACCATAAAGAAGAGAAAGTAGCTGCCTGTTGGTCGGTCGGGCTGTCAGTTGGTTTCAGTGATTGGGAACGCAGATGGACATTACAACCTTATTGATGCGTGGAGCCCAGTGATGGTCAGTGGAGTAGAAGTAGTGCTACAGGATTGGGATCGGACTTTCATATTCATAACTTTTTTGTGTTCGTAGGCTGACACAAAAATAAGCTCTCTTAGATTCATGGTGTAGGTAGATTAATCTCCTCTGAAATTGTACACAGTGACAGTGAAAATTGTATCGTAAATACTTTAGACTTGTTGTTATCGGAGGAGGATTAAAAAAAATATATACAACAGAGTAAATAGCCTGCTGAAATCGAACGACCCCAATGGCCCTATAAACAAAACCAAATCACGAATGTGGCACCATGGTCTCTGCCAGTGGGGAGAGAGGAATGGGGGAGAGATCAAGAGAAGGGAGCGGGACAGACCGATAGAGGGAGAGAGAACAGTTGATGAGGATTTATGTCTATGTTCCAATGCCAGCGTCCACTGGCTGGTGTTGGCCTCCCTCCTCCTCCTCTTGTGATGATAGAAGGCTTCCAGTAAATGTGTGTTACATGACAAACCATTTCCCCTATAACCCCATCGCCGCCTCCCTTCACTGGCCGCCAGTGGCCTGGGCTCTCACTAGCGTTTGATCTTCACTTACAGCTCCTCGGTCTCGCATCATTAAGCTTGAGGCCCTGGGTCTGAACCCCGCCCTGTGCAACTGGGTCCTAGACTTCCTGGCGGGCCGCCCCCAGGTGGTGAAGGTAGGAAACAACATCTCCACTTCGCTGATCCTCAACACTGGGGCCACACAAGGGTGCGTGCTCAGCCCCTTCCTGAACACCCTGTTCACCCATGACTGTGTGGCCAAGCACGCCTCCAACTCAATCATCACGTTTGCAGATGACACAACAGTAGTAGGCTTGATTACCAGCAATGACGAGACAGCCTACAGGGAGGAGGTGAGGGCTCTGGGAGTGTGGTGCCAGGAAAATAACCTCTCCCTCAACGTCAGCAAAACAAAGGAGATGATCGTGGACTTCAGGAAACAGCAGAGGGTGCACCCCCCTATCCACATCGACGGGACCTCAGTGGAGAAGGTGGAAAGTTCCTTGGCGTACATATCACTGACAAACTGAAATGGTCCACCCAAGCAGACAGTGTGGTGAAGAAGGCGCAACAGAGCCTCTTCAATCTCAGGAGGCTGAAGAAATGTGGCTTGGCACCTAAAACCCTCACAAACTTTTACAGATGCACAATTGAGAGCATCCTGTCGGGCTGTATCACCGCCTGGTACGGCAACTGCACCGCCCGCAACCGCAGGGCTCTCCAGAGGGTGGTGCGGTTGCCGAATGCATTACCGGGGGCAACCTACCCGCCCTCCAGGACACCTACAGCACCTGATGTCACAGGAAGGCCAAGAAGATCATCAAGGACATCAACCACCCGAGCCACTGCCTGTTCACCCCGCTATCATCCAGAAGGCGAGGTCAGTACAGGTGCATCAAAGCTGGGACCAAGAGACTGAAAAACAGCTTCTATCTCAAGGCCATCAGACTGTTAAATAGCCATCACTAGCACATTAGAGGCTGCTGCTGCCTATTGAAATCACTGGCCACTTTAAGAAATGGAACACTAGTCACTTCAATAATGTTTACATATCTTGCATTACTCATCTCATATGTATATACTGTATTCTATAATATTCTACTGTATCTTAGTCCATGCCGCTCTGTCATTGCTCGTCCATATATGTATATATTCTTAATTCCATTCCTTACTTAGATTTGTGTGGATTGGGTGTATGTTGTGAAATTGTTAGATATTACTATCGCTACACCCGCAATAACATCTGCTAAACACGTGTATGTGACAAATAAAATTTGATTTGAAAACACTCTGATTACCCTGGTGTGTGTGACTAATTACTCGTGACTAATTACTTGTGATGATTCAAAGTCCAAGCATCTGTATGACCTGTCTGTTTTGTACTGAATGTTTCAAATAAAGGATGTTTGTTGTGTTTCTGTGCCTAGGACCAGCCCCCCATACTGCTGTGTAGACCTGTACTCTCTGAGGACAGGGGAGATGGTCAAGTCCATCCAATTCAAGACTCCCATCTACGACCTGCACTGCAACAAGGAGTACGTACAGCATCATCACTTTTTGCATTCATATAATCAGTGCATTCATATAAATATATTGCAGTATTATGTAATATGAAAATCACATCCTATTTGTAATTTTCCTGAGTTTTGTAGGATTCTAGTTGTCGCCCTGCAGGAGAAGATTGCTGCATTCGACAGCTGCACCTTCACCAAAAAGTTCTTTGTTACAAGTAAGGAGCTGGGACTGTGTGTGCATCCTAAATGACACCCTATGCCCTACATAGTGCACTACTTTTGAACAGTGCACTATATAGGGCCACTTTGGATGATAAGGCTTTGATGTATGTGTTCATGTTGAACCAGATGATGACATACTCATGGAAGTTTGTTTTCCTTGTGGCTTTGATCAATAGCTCTCTAATAGCAGGAATTCCCCTTCACACATTGTTCTTATCATCACACACACACACACTAGACCAGTGGATACAAAGATTAGTACTCACAAATGCATACACGGTACTCTTCAGTGAAATCAATGGACAGATCATCTTGGAACAGATGCTTGGTCTCTCCTGTGTCTCTCTGTGTACATCTGTGAGAACACCAAAGCGATATAGCCACCCACTAACAGTTATATAGCCAGTAGCACAAACACACAGAGCCAGAGCCAGCGCAGGCCAGTCACATAACACATCAGCATTTTCCACACAAACATCCTAGCACCAAAAAGACAGGCAAGTCTGTCACGCTGGCATCACCCAGCCCAAAAAACCAACTAACTACAGACAGATACTGGCAGTGTTTACCCTGTGATACACAAACCACCATGCCTCCTCAAGGAGCACAACGTTTAGAACAGGTCTAAACTGTTTTCACTGAAACATCATAGTAGAGCAGGCTTAACACATCTCAACATCACTGACAGTATGTTTATAGCATGTTTACAACTCCTGGTTGTAACCTCAACGTCATACAGTTACACTACCTACCTAGGTTGTGTTCAGAAGGCACTGAAGGAGAGAAAACATTGTGAAACAGGGAGGTACCATACTACTATCTGAACTTGTACATTTTTATTTATTTTTTCCAAGTAGTTTTGCTACATTGTGCCCAACTGAACAGGACTCCTGGGCAGCGCAGGATGACGTGAAACAGTATATGTAACAAGGTCATTGCTGCCTGCAGACAGTAAACTAACTGCTGTTGGGAGAATAGGGTCTTAATGCGTTGTCTGGTATGTCTGCCTTTCCTATCCATGCCTGGCTGGCTGGGCCACAGGACAATGAGTATAATCAATCACTGTTAATCGTTCTCAATGACGCTTCCTCCGTGTAAAATGGAGGCTCGTTTCTCTTTGGGGAGGAAGAGGAGCAACACAGGCGTCCTGTAATGTGGGTTGTTTTTAGTTGTTGCCTGTCTTTAGAGTGGTGTGGAGTAGGGATGAGGTTAGTTAAGTCTGTCTGTGTGTGGATGTGATTTTGGGGTTGGTGATTCCCCTTTTTCTCCATCAAATGTTTTATTTTCTCTTCATCTTTCCTTCTTCGGCCCTTTTTCTCTTTCCTCTGTTCTACTCAGCCTTTTCCCCTCTGCCTTACTCTACATTTTACATTTTACATTTTAGTCATTTAGCAGATGCTCTTATCCAGAGCGACTTACAGTTAGTGAGTGCATACATTTTCATACTCTCCCTCTATTCTTTATTTTATCTTTATATCCTTTTCTCTTCTCCCCCTTCCTCTCCTCTTCCTTTCTTTTCATGTCTTTTCTCTTTTCCAATATCTCGTCCTCTTCTCCCTCTCTTCTGTTCCTTTTCCCCCCCTCACTCCTCCCCTTCTCTCCACACAGGATGTGTCAGACATGTTATCTTACTGCATGGGCTGAGTGGGTCGCTCTCCCCCAGCCTTGGAGCACCAACAAAAGGCTGTAGCATTGTGGCTTACCTCAAGTCCTATTCACCCCTCGCTTCCCAGCTTCGACTCTTCTGAACACTAAATTACTGTCTGACTCATCTCATCTGCACCCTGAGCACTACATTACTGTCAGCCAAACCTCTCTCCCCTCGCCTCCATGCACTCACATGACCGTGTGTGTGTGTGTGTGTGTGTGTGTGTGTGCGTGCGTATGAGATTTGTACTGGTATGTCCATTTGTGGGGGTGTGTGAATGCGTCTGTATATCTGTTTGTGTGTGTATGTGCAAACAAGCGTATTTGTCCCAGTTGCTCTTTCCATGCATTTATGGCAGTATCCATCATGACTCCCTTTCTGTTTACAGACATGTTTGTGAGTAGTGGTGAATCCTGATGGTGGATGTGCTGTGCAGAACTGAAAAATACTATTTGAAATCTTTCAAATATCTTGAGTGTTTGCTTGGAGTGTTTTGGAACTAATATATTGGTATATCAAGCCAGACAAGCTTAATCAAGCACAGATAATGTTTTTGAAATAATTTCAAATAGTATTTGAACCCAGGTCTGGTGCTGTGTGGCCATTGACTCCAGTGTGTGTGTGTGCGTGCTTGTATTTAGTTAATTATTACTCATCATCATGTCTACTGTGAGATGACTGTTTACATCAACATCTGTGCGAGTGGGTGGACACATTTGTTCCAGTTTACAGTGCATTCGGAATGCATTAAGACCCCTTGACCTTTTCCACATTTTGTTACGTTACAGCCTTATTCTAAAATTGATTTAAATAGTTTTTCCCCCTCATCAATCTACACACTACACCATAATGACAAAGCAAAAACAGTTGTTTTTCTTTGCAAAAAAACCAAAACAAACAGATCACGTACTTTGTTGAAGCACCTTTGGCAGCGATTACAGCTTAGAGTCTTCTTGGGTATGACGCTACAAGCTTGGCACACTTTTATTTGGGGAGTTTCTCCCATTCTTCTCTGCAGATCCGCTCACGCTCTGTCAGGTTGGATGGGGAGCGTTGCTGCACAGCTATTTTCAGGTCTCTTCAGAGATGTTCGATCGGGTTCAAGTCCGGGCTCTGGCTGGGCCACTCAAGGAAATTCAGAGACTTGTCCCGAAGCCACTCCTGCATTGTCTTGGCTGTGTGCTTAGGGTCGTTGTCCTGTTGGAAGGTGAACCTTTGCCCCAGTCTGAGGTCCTGAGTGCTCTGGAGCAGGTTTTCTTCAAGGATCTCTCTGTACTTTGCGCCGTTCATCTTTCCCTCGATCCCGACTAGTTTCCCAGTCCCTGCCGCTGCAAAACATCCCCACAGCATGATGCTGTCACCACCATGCGTCACCGTAGGGATGGTGCCAGGTTTCCTCCAGACGTGACGCTTGGCATTCAGGCCAAAGAGTGCATTCTTGGTTTCATCAGACCAGAGAATCTTGTTTCTCATGGTCTGAGAGTCCTTTAGGTGCCTTTTGGCAAACTCCAAGCGGGCTATCATGTGCCTTTTACTGAGGAGTGGCTTCTGTCTGGCCACTCTACCATAAAGGCCTGATTTGGTGGAGTGCTGCAGAGATGATTGTCCTTCTGGGAGGTTCTCCCATCTCCACAGAGGAACTCTGGAGTACAGCACTTTGGCCAAGCTTCCTGCTATCCAGGACCTCTATACCAGGCGGCATCAGAGGAAGGCCCTAGAAATTGCCAAAGACTCCAGCCACCCTAGTCATAGACTGTTCTCTCTGCTACCGCACGGCAAGCGGTACCCAAGCGCCAAGTCTAGGTCCATAAGGCTTCTTAACAGCTTCTACCCCCAAGCCATAAGACTCCTGAACATCTAATCAAATGACTACCCGGACTATTTGCATTGTATTATCTATGTATTATCTATATCTATGTATTATCTATACCTTACCTCTACCTACATGTACAGTTGAAGTCGGAAGTTTACATACACTTAGGTTGGAGTCATTAAAACTAGTTTTTCAACCACTCCACACATTTCTTGTTAACAAACTATAGTTTTGGCAAGTCGGTTAGGACATCTACTTTGTGCATGACACAAGTAATTTTTCCAACTATTGTTTATTGGTGGTGTACCTTTTAATATGCCATTTAGCAGACGCTTTTATCCAAAGCGACTTACAGTCATGTGCGCATACATTTTTACGTATGGGTGGTCCCGGGGATCGAACCCACTACCCTGGCGTTACAAGCGCCATGCTCTACCAATTGAGCTACAGAGGACCACCTGTGGATGTATTTCAAGGCCTACCTTCAAACTCAGTGCCTCTTTGCTTGACATCATGGGACAATCAAAATAAATCAGCCAAGACCTCAGCAAAAAAAATTGTAGACCTCCACAAGTCTGGTTCATCCTTGGGAGCAATTTCCAAACGCCTGAAGGTACCACGTTCATCTGTACAAACAATAGTACGCAGGTATAAACACCATGGGACCACGCAGCCATCATACCGCTCAGGAAGGACACGCATTCTGTCTCCTAGAGATGAACGTACTTTGGTGCGAAAAGTGCAAATCAATCCCAAAACAATAGCAAAGGACCTTGTGAAGATGCTGGAGGAAACGGGTACAAAAGTATCTATATCCACAGTAAAACAAGTCCTATATCGACATAACATGAAAGGCCGCTCAGCAAGGAAGAAGCCACTGCTCCAAAACCGCCATAAAAAAGCCAGACTACGGTTTGCAACTGCACATGGGGACAAAGATCGTACGTTTTGGAGAAATGTCCTTTGGTCTGATGAAACAAAAATAGAACTGTTTGGCCATAATGACCATCGTTATGTTTGGAGGAAAAAGGTGGTTACTTGCAAGCCGAAGAACACCATCCCAACCGTGAAGCACGGGGGTGGCAGCATAATGCTGTGGGGGTGCTTTGCTGCAGGAGGGACTGGTGCACTTCACAAAATAGATGGCAGCATGAGGAAGGAAAATTATGTGGATATATTGAAGCAACATCTCAAGACATCAGTCAGGAAGTTAAAGCTTGGTCGCAAATGGGTCTTCCAAATGGACAATGACCCCAAGCATACTTCCAAAGTTGTGGCAAAATGGCTTAAGGACAACAAAGTCAAGGTATTGGAGTGGCCATCACAAAGCCCTGACCTCAATCCTATAGAAAATGTGTATATAGCCTCCCTACTGTTATTTTACTGCTGGTATTTATTTTTATTTTTACTTATCTATTTTTTACTTAACACTTATTTTATTTTTTAACTGCATTGTTGGTCAAGGGCTTGTAAGTAAGCATTTCACTGTAAGGTCTACACCTGTTGTATTCGGCGAATGTCACAGATGCACTGACAACTGTGGGACCTTATATAAACAGGTGTGTGCCTTTCCAAATCATGTCCAATCAATTGAATTTACCACAGGTGGACTCCAATCAAGTTGTAGAATGGAAACATGATGCTCCTGAGCTCAATTTCGAGTCTTCTAGCAAAGGGTCTGAGTACTTAGTGGTTTGCGAAAGTATTCACCCCCCTTGGAATTTTTCCTATTTTGTTGCCTTACAACCTGGAATTAAAATGGATTTATAGGGGGTTTGTATCATTTGATTTACACAACATGCCTACCACTTTGAAGATACAAAATAAAAAAAAGTTTTGTGAAACAAACAAGAAATAAGACAAAAAAACAGAACTTGAGCGTGCATAACTATTCACCCCCCCAAAGTCAATATTTTGTAGAGCCACCTTTTGCAGCAATTTCAGCTGCAAGTCTCTTGGGGTATGTCTCTATAAGCTTGGCACATCAAGCCACTGGGATTTTTGCACATTCTTCAAGGCAAAACTGCTCCAGCAACTTCAAGTTGGATGGGTTCCGCTGGTGTACAGCAATCTTTAAGTCATACCACAGATTCTCAATTGGATTGAGGTCTGGGCTTTGACTTTGCCATTCCAAGACATTTAAATGTTTCCCCTTAAACCACTCAAGTGTTACTTTAGCAGTATGCTTAGGGTCATTGTCTGCTGGAAGGTGAACCTCTGTCCCATTCTCAAATCTCTGGAAGACTGAAACAGGTTTCCCTCAAGAATTTCCCTGTATTTAACGCCATCCATCATTCCTTCAATTCTGACCAGTTTCCCAGTCCCTGCCGATGAAAAACATCCCCACAGCATGATGCTGCCACCACCATGCTTCACTGTGGGGATGGTATTCTCGGGGTGATGACAGGTGTTGGGTTTGCGCCACACATAGCGTTTTCCTTGATGCCCAAAAAGCTCAATTTTAGTCTCATCTGACCAGAGTACCTTCTTCCATATGTTTGGGGAGTCTCCCACATGTCTTTTGGTGAACACCAAACGTGTTTGCTTATTTTTTTCTTTAAGCAATGGCTTTTTTCTGGCTACTCTTCCGTAGAGCCCAGTTCTGTGGCGTGTACGGCTTAAAGTGGTCCTATGGACAGATACTCCAATCTCTGCTGTGGAGCTTTGCAGCTCCTTCAGGGTTATCTTTGGTCTCTTTGTTGCCTCTCTGATTAATGTCCTCCTTGCCTGGTCCGTGAGTTTTGGTGGGCGGCCCTCTCTTGGCAGGTTTGTTGTGGTGCCATATTCTTTCAATTTTTTAATAATGGATTTAATGGTGCTCCGTGGGATGTTCAAAGTTTCTGATATTTTTTTAATAACCCAACCCTGATCTGTACTTCTCCACAACATTGTCCCTGACCTGTTTGGAGAGCTCTTTGGTCTTCATGGTGCCGCTTGCTTGGTGGTGCCCCTTGCTTAGTGGTGTTGCAGACTCTGGGGCCTTTCAGAACAGGTGTGTATATATACATTTACATTTACGTCATTTAGCAGACGCTCTTATCCAGAGCGACTTACAAATTGGTGCATTCACCCTATAGCCAGTGGGATAACCACTTTACAATTATTATTATTATTATTTATTTATTTTTGGGGGGGGGGGGGGGGGGTAGAAGGATTACTTTATCCTATCCCAGGTATTCCTTAAAGAGGTGGGGTTTCAAATGTCTCCGGAAGGTGGTGAGTGACTCCGCTGTCCTGGCGTCGTGAGGAAGCTTGTTCCACCATTGGGGTGCCAGAGCAGCGAACAGTTTTGACTGGGCTGAGCGGGAACTATGCTTCCGCAGAGGAAGGGGAGCCAGCAGGCCAGAGGTGGATGAACGCAATGCCCTCGTTTGGGTGTAGGGACTGATCAGAGCCTGAAGGTACGGAGGTGCCGTTCCCCTCACAGCTCCATAGGCAAGCACCATGGTCTTGTAACAGATGCGAGCTTCAACTGGAAGCCAGTGGAGTGTGCGGAGGAGCGGGGTGACGTGAGAGAACTTGGGAAGGTTGAACACCAGACGGGCTGCGGCATTCTGGATGAGTTGTAGGGGTTTAATGGCACAGGCAGGGAGCCCAGCCAACAGCGAGTTGCAGTAATCCAGACGGGAGATGACAAGTGCCTGGATTAGGACCTGTGCCGCTTCCTGTGTAAGGCAGGGTCGTACTCTCCGAATGTTGTAGAGCATGAACCTACAGGATCGGGTCACCGCCTTGATGTTAGCGGAGAACGACAGGGTGTTGTCCAGGGTCACGCCAAGGCTCTTCGCACTCTGGGAGGAGGACACAACGGAGTTGTCAACCGTGATGGCGAGATCATGGAACGGGCAGTCCTTCCCCGGGAGGAAGAGCAGCTCCGTCTTGCCAAGGTTCAGCTTGAGGTGGTGATCCATCATCCATACTGATATGTCTGCCAGACATGCAGAGATGCGATTCGCCACCTGGTTATCAAAAGGGGGAAAGGAGAAGATTAGTTGTGTATCGTCAGCGTAGCAATGATAGGAGAGGCCATGTGAGGATATGACAGAGCCAAGTGACTTGGTGTATAGCGAGAATAGGAGAGGGCCTAGAACTGAGCCCTGGGGGACACCAGTGGTGAGAGCACGTGGTGCGGAGACAGCTTCTCGCCACGCCACTTGGTAGGAGCGACCGGTCAGGTAGGACGCAATCCAAGAGTGAGCCGCGCCGGAGATGCCCAGCTCGGAGAGGGTGGAGAGGAGGATCTGATGGTTCACAGTATCAAAGGCAGCAGACAGGTCTAGAAGGACAAGGGCAGAGGAGAGAGAGTTAGCTTTAGCAGTGCGGAGAGCCTCCGTGACACAGAGAAGAGCAGTCTCAGTTGAATGACCAGTCCTGAAACCTGACTGGTTTGGATCAAGAAGGTCATTCTGAGAGAGATAGCAAGAGAGTTGGCTAAAGACGGCACGCTCAATAGTTTTGGAAAGAAAAGAAAGAAGGGATACTGGTCTGTAGTTGTTGACATCAGAGGGATCGAGTGTTGGTTTTTTGAGAAGGGGTGCAACTCTCGCTATATACTGAGATCATGTGACAGATCATGTGATACTTAGATTGCACACAGGTGGACTTTATTTAACTAATTATGTGACTTCTGAAGGTAATTGGTTGCACCAGATCTTATTTAGGGGCTTCATAGCAAAGGGGGTGAATATATATGCACGCACCACTTTTCCGTTATTTATTTTTTAGAATTTGTAGAAATAAGTTTTTTTTTTCTCGTTTTTTTTTAACCAATTTGGACTATTTTGTGTATGTCCATTACATGAAATCCAAATAAAAATCTATTTAAAATGACCGGTTGTAATGCAAGAAAATAGGAAAAACGCCAAGGGGGATGAATACTTTTACAAGGCACTGTATGTAAATAAGCTATTTCTGTTTTTGTTTTTTTATACATTTGAAAAAATTTCAAAAAACATGATTTCGCTTTGTCATTATGGGGTATTGTGTGTAGATTGATGAAGATTTCTTTTTATTTAATCCATTTTAGAATAAGGCTGTAACGTAACAGAATGTGTAAAAAGTCAAGGGGTCTGAATACTTTCCGAATGCACTGTATACTGATAGCTGATCCGCTTGTGAATTTATGGGCCGTTTGTCCTCATCTTCTGTATGTGTGTTGACGTCCATTTGTATTTATGCTGAGCTTTTGTGTGTGTGTGTGTGTGTTTCTTTTTACTTAGAGCCACATTATGACCTAATGGATTCTGTGGCACCCAATAAAGTGGGGACGGCTCCTGTCTAGATTGACTGGCAGACACACTGATCCCTATGGGAACTACTAAAGCACACACACACACACAGTGATCCACTTTCCCCTCTCAAACACATTAAGGCTTTAAGAGAGACCGAGACACCCTCGAAGGAGAGGAACGCTTGACTTCTAAAGCAAATATCCACAGCAGCATTATCAGCATTCACTGTTTCTACAACTTCTAAAAGGGAACATGTTAAAGTTAGGTAATCCCAGGGCATTCCATTTGAGATACATAGTCATGATTTTTATGCCTTGATTGGTGTAGATCAAATGGTGTGACTGTGTTGTGTCAGCCTCAATTGTGTATCCAATTTGTCCTGCGGTTGTAGGGTATGGAAAAAGATTTCACCTTCAATAAATGTATGTTTCCTCCTGTGTGTTTTCAGGCTGCTTTCCCTGTCCGGGCCCCAACCTAAACCCCATAGCACTGGGAGGACGCTGGCTAGCCTACGCTGAGAATAAGGTAGGACACAGGCGCACACACACACACACTGAATATACACACTCACACACACACTGAATACACACACCCATCCATCTCGTATGTACTTATCACAACACCATATTTACAATCCTCCAGAATTATATATATATTTTTTTCTTTAATCTCTCAGTACAACTCATTCCAAGAAGAGACCACTAGAAATGATAACATCTGAAAACCAACAGATGTATGTTTTTTATGTCCATTTAATAGCATTTTTGTATTTTCCAAAAGCAAGTCCGCTCTACGCACTCTTGTAATACGTTGAATGGATAATTGTGGCTGGTAGTTTTCTGATTACGCTCGGCCACTTAAGCAATTGACAGATGGGTCACGGACTACTTGTTACTATGACAGTGGGATAGGAGAGGAGTGTTTTTAATGTTCTGCCACTCATATTCTGTTCCTGGTTGGCCTCAGGTGCAGGAGGAGGATGATAATGTATTTCTTATCTATGTTTTGCGCTTGATCTCTCTCTCTCTGTCTCTTTCTGTGTCTCTCTCTCTCTTTCTGTGTGTCTCCCCCCCCCCTCCCTCCAGTTGATCCGGTGTCACCAGTCTCGAGGCGGTGCCTGCGGGGACAATGCCCAGTCTTACACAGCTACAGTCATCAGCGCTGCTAAAGTAAGTCAAACACACACACCTCCCTCCACCTCAATGGTTGTAATAAAATCATCTACATCTGTACATTTCTGAGAAGTGATATTGGATCCACCCTGGCTTTCCCCTGTGAGTCAGACACCATTATGAGACTCTATATCATAACCCAGACACAGGCCTTGAGAGTCTATGAGCATCTTAACTCATTTCTATGGTCTCTGTGTGTGTGTGTCTGTAGGGGGTTCCATCCTGTACTGTATACTGTGCTGCAATATGGGACACAGCCCCTGTAATACTCCTCTCAGCTGGAGAGCACCGCCAGGCTACGCTAACTGTTAAGCCATTTGATACCAAGCTGAATTTATACCCCTCCGCTCTGTTGATGTAGCGGCTAAGCTAACACGCGCTACTAGCATAGTGCAGCACTTTACTCATATGGTTCCAGTCTCCTGTCTTATCCAAGTCCGCAAAGGGGAACCCTAATTGATTTATGAAGACCCCTCGGGTCAGAGTTATTCCCATGGTCTCTCCCTCCCTCTCTCCTTAATGAGCGCTAACAGCTAGCGTGATAGAAGTCCCATTAGCCGCTAATGGCGGCATATATCAAAAAGAGCAGCGGCAGCAGCGCTAAAGTGTTAGCCTGGCTAGCGGAGAGAGGGGGAAATGAGGTTAAGGGGTCCCGATATGCAGACGGATTGTCTGCAGCCGCCGTTTAAAACTATATATTATAATCTCAATATTTTCACCCCCATCCCCCATCCCCCTCCTCTGGTCTACAACGCAACACTCAGACTGAGTGCTGCTGTCCAGAGACTTTGAGGAGGTGTAGAGGGAGCACTCAGGGGGGAGTATTTGGGGAGTATTTCCTAGCCTTTTATAGGAAATAACATTTTATAACAGCGCATAATTCCAGCTGTATTATTGTTCCTCATACTAATCACTGGAATGTAAACATAAAGCAAACCTGCTCATTGTCTGACTGTGTGATGCTCTGCACCAGTGTGGAGGCTCTGGGCCTAGCCAGGGTGTCTGACTCAAAAACACCTCTGTGGCCAGGGCCAGGCCAGGCTCAAGGAAATGGATAGTGCTGCTTAAGTGGAGTCTATCTCACCGCTACACTGAGCTAATGGAGTCCGTATACTGTGTGTGTGTGTGTGTGTCAGCGCAAAGGGGCCCCGGTGAACCTAATCAGGCATTCAGGCCAGGCAGCACTGTCAATACCGCGTGGCGCCTCTCATTTGTTGGGTCTTTGCATCACACACACCCTCACTTGGCAACTCCACCTAGCCCACTAACAGACTGGTGTGTGTAAATTGCTCGGAGCCCCATCAATAATGAAACAGGGCGTTTGGCTCCTAATTGATCAACACTAATGTGTTTTCTAATCACTGCAGTGTGAGGTTTTAGTGCTAATCCAAACAGGAGCCATTGATCTGTGTAGGGCTGAGGGGGGAGACTGGGGAGGAGAGACTGGTGGCAGACACTCGGCTCCTGCTGTTTCAGCACTCCACATCATCATCATCAGCAGCAGCTGATAGCATTGAGCAAATAGCCGGTCTCTCTCTCTCTCTCTCACACACACACACACACACACACACTCATAGGCACACGTAGACAGTCATTCTATATTGATCAACACTCCTCTCCCAGATCCCCATAGTCAAACAGACATACTGGTGTCTTCTTTATTGGAAGTGTCTCTAGTCGGTTTATGACAATGAGCCAAATCTGATGTTTGTTTCCTGCTATTCTCCACCTCCCCCCTCTCTCTCCTCTTCTCCCCCCTCTTTATATGCGCCGCTCTCGCTCTCCCTCCCCCTTTCCCTTGTCGTTCTGGTTAGACCCTAAAGACTGGTCTCACCATGGTGGGGAAGGTGGTGACCCAGCTAGCTGGTACTCTACCCACTGGCGCGCCCGATGAGGAGGGTGCTACCCCCCACAGCACCACCCGCCGAAGCCCCCATGCCCCTGGAGTCATCACTGTCATCGACACACACAACGTCGGAGAGGGACAGGTATGTGTGATCACTAAGGCATAGACCCTGGCTCTCCAACAGTGTTAAATCCCCTTCTGAAGTAACGGTAAGAAAATATAAATGTTCTGCAACCAGAAATGGAAGAAAGAATAGTGCAAAAAATAGTTCTCACACAATGTGGAGTTAAAAGGATGTTGTCGGAGAGGTCCAGGTATTACTGTGTGTCTTACCCTTGGTGTTATGGACCATGGCTCTGAAGTAATGTTGAAAAATTGTACAAAGTGAAACATACATCTTGGTTGCTTTTTGTGTATTTAGTAACATTATAGGGGTTGTTGTTGTTTGAACAATAATTCTCACCTGATAATAATGTGTCATCACTAGCTTATAAACAGGCCCAACCTACTGTATCTCAGTAGACTGCCACTGGCAGCTAGATACATCATGATAATGAGTCTCTTCCTGCTTTTGGCACAGGTCCCAGAAGACCAGGCCATAGAGATTGAATGATTTAACACAAAATAAAGAACCACATCAATTCTTCCTCTTTCAGTTACATACATCCACATCTTTTCTCAGCACAGCTGTTCTTTGTTTGCGCCAAACTGAACTCTGTCTCTAGACATTTTCTCATCAGAGTGAGAAGTGTTTTTTACTGGTGCGTTGTGGGTAACCAGAAAATATTCCCAGGTGTCCGTTTCCTTGTAAAGGATCTTTGATAGAGTGTCACATTTACTGGGTTACAGCCCTACATGTTTACACTTCTCACATTCAAGGCCCTTTTACACACACACAGGTTCTATCAGAACAGATTCTCCATCCTCTCTTCCCTCATCCTCCCCTCTATCCATCCTCTATTCCCTCATCCTCCCCTCTATCCATCCTCTCATCCCTCCCTCCTTTTTCCTTGTCCTTTCTGACCTCAGTAAACACACCTTTGGGTTTTGTGGTGCGGTGAGAAACCTCCCAGGTTAAACCTATTTTATCCTCTGCTAGAGCAAACACAAGAGCATACCGACCGACCCCACACACGCACCTGACAGTACCTCGGGCCTAAGGTGGGATTCATTTTGTTTGCTCACTCATATTTTTCACAGCTCGGCATTCGCCACAGCGCCAGCTTTTTTAAGCAGTGGGGAGACTTAATGACTGCACTGCTCATCATCACCAGTGACCTCACAAGATGCTTGTACTCCGTCCTCTTTCTGGCACAGTCCTCTCTTCCTAGCTCCCTTAGTGGTAGTGAAAGGGTGTCAGGTAGCTTAGTGGGTAAGAGCGTTGTGCCAGTAACCGAAAGGTCGCTGGTTCTAATCCCCGAGCCGACTAGGTGAAAAATCTGTCGATGTGCCCTTAAGCAAGGCACTTAACCCTAATTGCTGATGTAAGTCGCTCTGGATAAGAGCGTCTGCTAAATGACTAAAATGTAAATGTAAAAATGTGTCTGTGTAATGCTCACCATATTGTTGCTATATTCTATATGTATAAGGGGCATAAGGTTACTATAAATCCATACCATGCCTTTATTGCAGTGCAGTGGAAGAATCATTGAATTCCTAAACTATGACCACACAACACTGTATGCCAGTGCTGTGTGTGTGTGTGTGTGCGTGCGCCTGGATGTGTGTAACCCAGTCTCCTGAGGGCTCCTCCAGACCAGGCCTAAATCCCTCAGAGGCAGGTCTGCACTGTGTCACCACCCATTTTACAGTAACCCTACACTGCACATAAACACAGTTAGGAGAAAGAGAGAGAGGAGGGGGAGAGCGAGAGGAGGGAGGGAAAGAAGGGGGATTTCTGTGTGACTTCAGCATATAGCTGTGTGTTATACAGGTTTTGATAGCATTGCTTTCTTGCCACATCTCCCAACTCAAACTATTAGTTTGTTGACCCCTTCATTGGAAGTGGTGACCCCTCTTTACACACACACACACAGACACAGACGACACACACACACACACTCCTCCTGTATAATAGGTTTACTCTCCAGAGGTAGCCCCCGACACTAATTCTCCTTTTCAAAGGGCTTCAGCAGGATTCCCTCACAGAACAACATTGTGCCTCTGATGTAATAAAAGGGGTCTGGCTTATGTCACCCCTTTTCCTTGTTCTTTTCTTTTTTCTCCTTCCCTTTCCTCTCTCCCTCTAGTCCAGTCTGAAATAAAGGGCTCTGTTGGGCTCTGAGGTTGTTTTGTGTTTGGACTGGCTCCTATTAATACGAATGAAGATGATGGGTACATTGCTGCGGTGACAGTGTAGAAAGAGAGGGAGGGAGAGAAGAGTTCTCTTTTTGCTGCTGAATGACTTGCCATTCCATGCCTCTCTCGGGTGTTAATTGGGATGATTGCTAATTACATCCACAAGGGGGCAATGCTCTTTACCAATGGGATTTTAACATTAATTGTCCATTATTTTACTTACAGCAAGATGCAATAAGAATTCCATGTGTTGTCCCGCTCTGTGATGAATCTCTCTCTCTCTCTCTCTCTTTCTCTTTTCCAGGTCCTGGTGAGTGAGGACTCAGATGGAGAGGGAGTGGTGGCCCACTTCCCAGCTCATGACAAACCCATATCTTGCATGGCATTCAACCCCAGCGGTAAGGAGACGGCTCACTGCAACACACACAGGCATACACACCAAAAGTATTTATTTTGGATGTAAAGAACGCTAATCCAAAAAAGGGGAATTTGAAGGCAAAGTTTGGCAATCCATCCGTAGTGAAGAAAGTGAGTTGAGGGATGAGGAGGTTTTTTGGGGGGGGAGTGTGAACCCACATGAAGGGGACACAACCTCACTGTCCCCGTCTTAACCTCTTCTGTGGGACTCCAGGGTGTGGCGGAAAGGGCCTATGAAGTGGGGATGTCTGTGTTAGAACGGTAGTCAGTGGGGCCTGTGCCTGAGGGTGCATGCACTCACCTGCAGTCAACACACAATGGAAGTGGCCCTGCAGTGACAATGGCACTTCATCCCACTGTGGGAGAGTGACAACAACTGTGCATTGATACGTGAAGTCACACACACACACACCGGGGCACTCCCTTTGTGTTTCTGTGAACACACTCACTCACAGTCAGGCTTTGATGTCGTTCCGACACCCGGTAGACAGCCTTAGGTGTGTGAGGTGTTGAGTTACGCTGCTCTCCTCACAACAGAAGAGAGGTTATGCTGCTCTCCTCACAACAGAAGAGAGGTTAGGTTGCTCTCCTCACAACAGAAGAGAGGTTATGCTGCTCTCCTCACAACAGAAGAGAGGTTATGCTGCTCTCCTCACAACAGAAGAGAGGTTATGCTGCTCTCCTCACAACAGAAGAGAGGTTATGCTGCTCTCCTCACAACAGAAGAGAGGTTATGCTGCTCTCCTCACAACAGAAGAGAGGTTAGGTTGCTCTCCTCACAACAGAAGAGATGGTTACGTTGCTCTCCTCACAACAGAAGAGATGGTTACGTTGCTCTCCTCACAACAGAGGGGTGGTTACGTTGCTCTCCTTACGTTGCTCTCCTCACTACAGAAGAGGGGTTATGTTGCTCTCCTCACTACAGAGGAGGGGTTACGTTGCTCTCCTCACTACAGAGGAGGGGTTACGTTGCTCTCCTCACTACAGAGGAGGGGTTACATTGCTCTCCTCACTACAGAGGAGAGAGAAACAATACCTTTGGAAATCCATAAATATATAATTATTGTACAATTTATATAGTCTACATTGAGGTTTTTCTTTCATTATTTTAGGCTATCTGATATTAGTGCATAAACCTAAACTTTAGGGCTTAACTGTAAGCGCGCCAAATTGTCTACACAGCCAATTGCAAATAATGTTTTTGGGAACGTTAACATCAGTCCACAGAGGCAAAAAGGACATTGTGGAAGTTTAGTTCAATAAGACAAAAGCTGCGAAAGGAGAGTTGAAAATAAAGAGAAGGGATGGCCAGAAAAGTAATGTTTGGAAAAGATTTGGTGAAGTGGTAAAAGAGGATGATAGCAGTGTCAGCTATGTTATGTGTGATGATTGTGAGGCACTATACAAATTCGACAGCCACAAGACGGGACTTCAAATAGGCCTATGGCATGTCAAGGAACTGTGTAGCCTACTGTTTAGATGGGTGAAATGGAAACTGAAATCTGGACATTGACTAACCAGAATAACCTACTGTTTTTTGGCAAAATCCAAAGTCCTCTGATAATACTAGTCCTGTGCGAATTGACATCCCTGTGTTTAGAGAGAAATGTCTGAGTTTTACAGGTGTTGCTCCAGTTTCAGCAAGAAAACAATAACTGATTCGATCAATTGAACAAAGTGCTGCGCATAGCCTATATATGAAGGGCCTACATGTATCAACTTTCATAGTGAATGCTTTTGTTTATACGATTTGTGCGAATGAATTGAACATCACCAAATGCATCATAAAATAATATTGTGGCTATTTAATGCAACCCTTGCTGTTAATAGATCGCAAAGCAGCATACAACTGAGCTACACGTTTGGAACAAGTTCACTTTCTCATCCACAGCCTACAAACGCATATCAAGTGCAAGTTAGTTGTTTAGCTTACATCTGAAGGCTGGGTGGCATTTAGGACATCTTCTACTGCGGATCGCTAAAATATCTTAATGATTATGTTCACACTAACTCAATTAAAATATTATGGCGAAACCATACCAAAGATGGTTTGGTATGGTTTAGAAACTTGGGAACCAAGCTCGAGTTATCAGTGTAGCCTGTTGTCGCCTGGTATTGTTGAAATATCTTCACAACAAGGGGAAAAAACTCCAGGCTTCCGTCATAACTACAGGGGGCAGTTTGGAAAAAACTTATCGCGACGAATCGTCCTCTGGGATAATGGACATTCTGGGGTAATAAATACATAACCAATGTTCTCTAGTAATACTAGTCCCGTGCGAATAGGGCTATAGCCTTAATAATAACTAATGCAGAATGATGCATTTCTTGCAGAAAAATTATACACCAATGTAGGCTAAATTTGGACTTGGGAATAGGTGGAGAAATATGATTGATTTATTTCTGCCTCTTGAAAGAATGCAATGCTCATTAGATACGATCTGTAGAGGT